TATATATATTTCTCTTTCTCGCTCTCTCCCTCTCTATCTTTATCACCCTCTCTCCATGAGTTACATGCGTTCGTGGCATCTAATTCCCGTTGTTTCTATATCTCTCATTCTCTCTCTGGCTCGCTCTCTCTCTCTTTCTCGCTCTCTCCCTCTCTATCTTTATCACCCTCTCTCCATGAGTTACGTGCGTTCGTGGCATCTAATTCCCGTTGTTTCTATATCTCTCATTCTCTCTCTGGCTCTCTCTCTCTCTCTCTCTCTCTCTCTCTCTCTCTCTCTCTCTCTCTCTCTCTCTCTCTCTCTCTCTCTCTCTCTCTCTCTCTCTCTCTCTCTGTGTGTGTGTGTGTGTGTGTGTGTGTGTGTGTGTGTGTGTGTGTGTGTGTGTGTGTGTGTGTGTGTGTTTCGCTAGCCTCTCTCTCTCGGTTGCCTCTCTCACTCTCTCACTCAATTAGTTCATGCTCTTACCTCCTTTTTGCGACGCAGTATATATATGTTCCACGTACTGATATACTCTTGTTGAAATGAATAGCCTATGTCAAATTGAATTGTGACCGTGAAACCTAATTCTAAATCCTATAACTGAAGATCGACAGACTGCTTATTTGTATCTTCTCTTCCTAATTATGATCGAACTTTCGATGCCGTTCTTTTCCATCACTTTGTATATATAGCAACGAAAGATGTAAAATTAGGAATATTCGAGGTAGTACCCTATATAGCTTGAGATACGCTGATTTGTAACTACAGCTTCGTTACATGTAACGATTGCATAAAAATTCTTCACGCCGAAATTTATCGGTATTGAATTGCAATTCGGGCGCTCTATTCCCCGTTGTTTATGTTTAATGACTTGAAGTCAATACTATTACTATAGTATATATATCAATGGTCAGCTCTACTTTGATATTGAATTCCAATAGACACCTGCTTACATTGTGAGAGCGTTGTGCATGCCTATTGCCAAGGGAGTTCGCACAAGGAAAATCGGTGTATTATGTGATAGAAAATCATCGACATAAACCATCGTTATAGTGACGGCAGACTGCCGCAGACATATAAGAAACCCCTACTAATTACTAATTACTACTGCTAACTACTACTAATGATCGATCTGGCTGTAATCGTTGCACGTTTGAAGCTGCTGATCATACTGTCAAGATGCTCACTCTCTTTGCTCAACGCATGGCGAGGAATAGAGCGCGGGGAGGAATTAACTTCTGAGAGAAATTAATACACGTATTATGACTAAACATAATTAAAAATATACCTTATAACAGATTATACTCCTGTAAAAATCATAACCTAAGCTAGTTATAAAGTTAAAATCTTGCTCTTGACTATTGAACGATAGAAGGGCATTGCGAGTTAGCCCCCCTCCACCACTGTCGCTTCGTAAATCTTAGCTCCGTCGGCAGGGACCATGTAGTGGCGGATCTAGAGGGGGGGTTATGATGTAACGATGTTAACGATGTTATGATACTAGTAAAATGGGGTCAAAAATTAAAAAAGTCAGTCTGCAGGCTGATAGAAACTAGGGATTTCCACTGTGACCACACAGCTGCCTGAATTTTCCAGGTGGGAGGGGGCATGCCCCGGACCACCCTAGCACCGCGTGCCTAGCTTCGGCAGGCCTTTACTTAAATATCACCCCCGTCTCCTGAAAGCTCGATCTGCTTCTGGGGACCTTATCTCATGTGTCGGACACTCTCTGGTGCCAGCTCTGACCTGTGAACAACGCATCGTGATGCTATAGAGAATGTGTGACGTGTAATGATATAATCACCTAGACGACTTACATACTATTGAATGGAATTTGAATTGGTTTGCTTAGGGATCTAGCACTGCACACTGGAATACAAACGCGCATGGATTAATGAAAGACAATTTATCTGCGTGTAATTTAATTAAATGTATTCTTAGTAATTCTTAATTTAGTAATTAAATGTAGATAATGCTGTAGTTGATATTATCACCTACTATTCTGGCAATACTATATGTACCTGATGGTAATATGTGTGAGTAAATAAACTTACAGGACTAGCTGAATCACTAAATAAATGACTCTTATTGTATAAATAGCGAATTCATTATAGAAAGCATTTTGCTTAGTTTTTAAAATATGTAGTATTATAGCAATACAGTCATGTATTGTCATTAGTATGTTTTGAGTAAAAGTATTGCATTTCACGCATGTTTATGTAAACTCCTATTCTCATCCTCTTTATGGTAATTATCTTAAAATTGTAGTATTTTAGCTATTTTTCACAATATTGCGTACATCAGATGTTTTCTCCGTGAAATAACCATAATATATATGACGTACCTATATTAAATAATTATGATATCCTAAATACATAAAATATATATATATATATTGATATCAATATATTAAATAAATATGATCCCAGGCAATGTTGTGTGTCTATTGCATATGTATATGCTATGTATATGCATACACATGTATGCAATATTATTAATTATTTATTGCGCAATATTTTGCTTGGTGGCTAAATTTAAGGCGGAATTAGCTTTTAATAGCAGTGTAACGATGTACCCGTATTGATAACATCAGGAGTGAACAAATATGAATTTGTGTTTTTTATTTAATCCTGATAACGACCATAAGCATGACGAACGAACGACAGAGACGAAGTCGAGCCGAGGTAAATACGCGAATAGGACTATGGACATGAAACAAGGAAGAGGGGAGGTAAAGAAGAGATAAGAGAGGAGGAACAGATATTCCTCTAGAGAAGGGCAGCAGAATGCTGCGGCGATGAGTTAGGGATCGAATCTATAAGAAGAGGAGATACGAAGGAGGTCGATGCGTAGATATCGGGGGATGCTATAGGGTAAGAATTAAAGGCGGGAAAGAGAAGGGAAAGAATGTAGGAGAGGAGATGTGCATTTGAACAGTTCTCCAAAGCTCGTGTGTACTAACGATTCTAGGCGCGTGAAACTGCAACGTGTGCCTACGCGCACGTGCGTGTGCGTCCGTGCGTGTGCACACACGTGTGCGCGCGTGTAAGGAGGTAAACCCTGCTACACCGGCGCGCGCGTGAGTGTCCTGGTGCGCGTGCGTTTGCGTGTGCGCGCGTTTGTTTGTTTGCGTGTTTGCACTTGCGCGCTGCTCGCCTGCGTGTGCGCGTGTGAGTGTATGCGTGCGCGTATTTGTGCGCGTGCGTGTGTGTGTGTGTGCGTGGGTACGTGTACGTAAATGTGCGCGCGCGCACGTGTAAGGGTCTGTGTGTGTCTATGTGTATGCAGGCGCGCGTGTGTATTTCTGTGCATGTGCATGTGCGTGTGCGTGAACGTGTGTGTGTGTGTGTGTGTGTGTGTGTGTGTGTGTGTGTGTGTGTGTGTGTGTGTGTGTGTGTGTGTCGTGTGTCGTGTGTGTGTGTGTGTGTGTGTGTGTGTGTGTGTCGTGTGTGTGTGTGTGTGTGTGTGTGTGTGTGTGTGTGTGTGTGTGTGTG